ATTTCAGCCAGATTTCACCACTGAAAATCCACCAATGATATTTGTAACTTAAAGTTAGGTATGCACTGAACCCTTCAGACATTTGAGAATAAAATAAGAGCACAGAAGAGGGAAGCCTTTGAAACCAAAGTTAGTGTCTCATAGAGGAGACATTACACACAAAAATGAAGCACGGAGAAAATGGACAAAAATGCATAAAACTGGAGCAGCAGAAAATCTTTATTATTATATAGGAGTATTTGTGTTAGATAGTTTGTGAACTGTTCAAGATGCTTATGGACAATTTGAAAATGGATACAAATTCTCACCAACAAATTTTGTATGTAACGTACTGGCAAGAAGGCTGGTGAGTAAGATGGGAAAAGGGACATATGGAAAGACAAGCGGATAACTGGTAAGCCAGAGGGCACTTTCAAGCAAGTGGCATGTGAATGGAGCCAGTAGCAGTGCTGCACATCTAGGAACACAGCAGGTGGGCAGTGGAAAGGGTCCTGGAAAGAATGACACTATGGGCAGCATGAGCAGGTGTCATATGATTGCATGGCATCGCCAAAGCATTGGGTTGGTTGCATGAGTATCAGTCAGCTATATGACAGCTCAAAAGAAACATCAGAAATAGCCCCCTACCATCTGTCCTCATCACAGTGCAGTCCATAGTTTAGGACTCCTAAAGTGAAAATACGTGGAGCTCCCAGTGGGAAATCAGGGAAGTGTGCACTCCTTGTCTTTAAAATTCTGTTGTGGCAACAAACAAACAAACAAACAAATAGATGCAATCCTCAAGCATAAACAGAAGTTGCTAAAAGGTACTTTACTTCATACACAACTCTGGCAAGAAAGGTATTAAAAGTAGTAATGAGTTCTTGTTTCAAAATTTTAAAATCATTGTTGAAAAATTGTACAGAGTACAAGAAAGAAGGTATAAAAAGTCTGCAGAAAATCAAGGAGCTGTATCTGTGTCTACTCTCAGGAAAAAAAAGGTAAATATGTGGAATAAAAAAGTTTTCACAGAATATCACATCTGAAAGGACACTTCAGCTACGTGCAATAAGGCATTACATGAAGCAACAGCTGGAAGCTGGAGCCAGATCTACTCCAAGTGGAAGTGGGAAGCATTGAAGGCTGTTCAGAGCAGCGATAAACTGCTAAGGCAGAGACAGAATTCCCCATGCAGCCTGCAGTCTCTCCCAGTTGGCAGAGTGTGCCTTTCTGGAGTCAACATTAGTTTCCCCAAGCTTCTGAAAAACTGTATTATCAACAGCATAAGAAATACACTTGGGCCGATTCAAAACCGGAAGGATCTCTACTGGTCAATAAATGTTTAATTCCTGGATTGTATGTTGGCTAAGCAGACCGCTGTGCACAGGATGCACAGGTGCTGGTGCTGGATGCAGCATTCACAGGGATGGTGGGCAGCCATGCTGTCAGTCCTGTCACATTTCCCTTGCCTTTTTTTGTCCCTGTCTTTCTGAATGTTAATGCTTTGTTTGATGGGGTGTTTTCTTGTCCAGAGAACTGTTCACAGTAATGCCCCATTCTTTTGTGAAAGATTACAGCTTGATTAGAAGATAACTTTGAATTGTGTTATAGGAATGAGCCCAAGGCATGTTGCAAGGTTCTGTGACTCACTGTTTGTCTGAGACCACCATTCTTCAGCCATAGCAAGAAGCTACAAAACAAGATTTCCTTTTCACATTACTGCTATGAAACATTACCTGTCCATGAACACAGGCCGAGGCCCATGTCAGTACTTTCATGGTACATAGCCAGCTCTAACCTGTATCCTTTCTAAAAATGTTCTTTCCCTCTTTGTTATCATTTTTTTTTTTTTCTCTCTCTAGGATAACTCAGATGGTTTTATTTCAAGCCTTTGTTGTTCTTTATGTGAGTCAACTCACCTAAAGTCCTTTAGTTAGGACCAAGAAAAACCATTTATATATAATTATACTTAAGCAGTGAGATCATTATTGAATATAATGCTGACCTAAGAATTCCAGGATAATTTCCTATATGGAGAGTGATTTCAGAGAGTGCTAAAGCAATGCCGACACTTTTTCACGAGTGCTCACACTGCTCTGGCTTGAAGTACAACAGTTTGCTCGTGTCTTACATTAGGCAGTTTTACAGTCAAATAGCTGTTACAAAAGAAGCCGTGTACACAACAGACCTCGTCAGCACCACTTCCAGTAACATCTACCTGGGAGTGAAGCAAACCCACTCAATTCAGCCCTCAGGGAATGATTGTCCAGCAGACACAGCCTGGACTCTGCCACACTGTTGCACACAGTTGCATTTTGTTGCTGCGCTTTGCTTTTTTCTCCTTGAGCAAAGCACATGCTCAGCCGAGGCGAGAGTCAGGTGTTACCTTTGCTATTGCACAAAGTCACTGGAGAAGAGCTTGTGCAGCCAGCAGGGAAATTTCAGAGCACGTGTTCCAAGCGTACTCACTTGTAAATGTGTCACCCAGCAGGCTGACACCTTTGAGACAGGCCCCAACCTTCTGGGGATGGGGACGCTCCCTGATGGGGACACCAGGCTGGGAGAGGGGCCCTGTGGTCCCAGTGAGGTCCCTCAACCTCCTGCTGCAGGAAGCTGGTGCATTCCTCCACTGAGCGCAGCCTTTTGGATGCCAGCCATGGGGTGATTCCTTCCCACTACTGTGGCTATTTGCTTCCTGAACAGGAGAAGTGAAGCCATGGAGTATTAGATACATTTATTTTTTAAGGCCTGGTACCTACAGTCCTTCTCCTTGTTCCCATCCCAGCCATAAGCATACAATTCGTTTGGGTTGGCAGCACGGGAAGCAGTGCTGGGACTGAGCTGTGCAACCTGGGTTGCATTGCAGTACAGAAAACAAATCTACTGAATTAGAAGAGGGAGGAAAAAATATTTGAATTATGAATTTTCTGCACCTGGTGCAGAAAACAACAACAACAACAACAAAAACTTATGCTCATTAGGCACTGAAATACGATATTTTTTTGGCAAAGGATAAGCATTCACAACAGTTCCTAGAATCTGGATTATAAAAATTGTATTTTTGATAAACAAAGCAGAGACAAATACAAATCTTTTTAATTATAAGGATTTTCTTCTATAATATAATGAAAGAATTCCAGGCCTTCAAAATTCAAAGTGTTCACTCTTTTCAGTTTTCCCTTTGAAAACCAAGAAATATTCTTTCATTTTTCCCCCATAGTTTTGTCTTCATTTCAAAAGCCCTAAAACTAAGCTCAGTCGGGCCCCTTTCCTCAGTCGCTGTGAGCCGTGCTATGGATGCTTCAGGGGTTGGCATCGACATGAGAGCCTCCATCCTCGTATTACACACCGAGTTCTCGTACACACCACCGTCGAAGCTGCTTTGGGATGCGTTCACCTGTCCGTGTGCATGCGCTCACCGGGAAGCCGTGAAATAAGCCGCTTTACCTCCCCGACAGGTTGTTTTTACTACAGGAACTGTGCACAAGCATCCTCATTCATTCCCGGCATTTCCCATCCTACGTTTCTAGGGAGGTTCCTCCCGTTGAGATAACTTTTCTCCAGCTTTGGCTGATCCCGGAGCTCTGGTGCCAGCGCTCCCAGGAGCACGCTGGGTTTGGGAGACATTACCTTCCCTGCAGGACGGTCCCCGCTTCGTCCGGGAAAACACGCCCCGGCACGGCGGGTGGAAGGGAAAGGGCAGGAGAGAGCGACGGCTGCAGGGGGCTCTTCCCTCCCTGCCCTGGTGTGAGTGCCCTCGTCTTGCGGAGACGCAGCGCGGCTGCGGGTGCCGGGAGGGGAGCCGAGCTGCGTGGGGGGGAGGCAGAGTCGGGGGACTTCAGCGCGGCGCGGTCTCACCCCTCAATCACTCCTCCCACAGTGAGCTGTGCCTCTTAACCCCCGGGATCCTCCCTCCCGCCGAGCACTGCTCCGCTCTGCAGAACGCGAGTTGATGACCGAAAAACGAATTAGCGGCCGCGGACAGCCATGAGCTGTCTGGATGTTATGTACCAAGTGTATGGTCCTCCCCAGCCGTACTTCGCCGCTGCCTACAGCCCCTACCCGCAGGTACGTGGGGTGGGAGGGGTGGCGACGGGAGGGTGGCCCCGAGCCTCACCAAAAGGAAAAAGGCAAAAGGAGAAGGGGAGGGGGTGGGGGAGAAGAGCAGGAGTTTGCGATGGTGAGCGAAGCGGGGCTGCATCCCACCCTGGTGCGGGGCTCGGCACGGTACGTACTGCCGGGACTGCGGGAGAGAACAGGACTTCAGATCCGATATGTCATTTAAGGGATTTTTTTTCCCTTTTTTTTTTCTTTTTTTTTTTCTTCCTTTCCTGGACCGGGCTCCATCCGAGCTGGACGACTGCGGGCAACGATGCCCCCGGGTTGCAGAGGGCTACCGGGAAGGGCGAGGGAGGGCTGCCCGGGGTGCTTCCCGACCGCCGCCGCGGGAGAAGCAGTGCACCGCTCTTCACATGGTTACCGGGGATGCTCCCACTCCAGCCCCGCTCGGCGGCGGGACCCCGCGGGCTGCCCTGGAGACACCCGTAAGGGGATGCCTGTGCGTGTGCAGCCCGGGCTGTATGCTGAGCCCCGCGTTCCTGTACCCTCGGCAGCACCTGCAGCACCTCTCAGTTTCCCGTTTCTTTGGAGGTGTTTTTCTTCCTTCCTTCTTTTTTTTTTTTTTTTTTTTTTTTTTTTTTTAATTAATTAATTTATTTAGTTTTTTCTCCCCTTATCACTTCGGAATAGGAAAACGGCTTTCCCCAGCAAACGAAAAATAGGAGCGGTAGAGGCGGAAGCGCCCCGGGCCGCGGACAGGCGGCAGCCCCGGACGTGCGGGGCTGGGGGCGGGCAGTCACGCTCCTCTCCTCTCCTCTCCTCTCCGCACAGCCGCGGCGTGGCGGCTCGCGGGACACCTCCAGCCCTGGCAGCGAGGCCGGCATACCTGTTACAAATAGCAGATGATGTCTTCCCCCACCTTGCCCCCCCACCCGCCCGTCCGCACGCGGGTGACATTATTTAGGGGGCTAATTATTAGCTCAATGGCTGAGCCGGCAGCCAAGTGGAAAGGCAGCAGCCACGGAGCGACGTTATTAGATATCCCGCGCGGCTCGGTCCAGGGCTCCCGGCGGCCCGACCCTCGTTCTTCCTCCTGCCCGCTCCGGCCCGCCGTCCCCGGCTCATCTTAAGGAACTCGCGGCGGCTGCTGTCAGAGAGACTTCGGGAAACATCTGAGTGCCTGCCGCTCTTTATTTCTCCCGGCAGGATCCAGTAAAAATTGTGTAATCCTGAAGGAAATACCTGAGGCTTCCCGCTAGACAGAGAAATGCTTTCTGCCCTGAGACGCGTTTGAAGCGGACAGACTTTGATTTTTTTTCCCTTCCTGCCGTTTTCCGCTTTGTTTTGTAGGTCACTCTTCTGCCTTTCCCTCGGTGCCGGGATCCGGCCCGCAAAGCGCCTTCTGAGTGCTGAACTTCGTGCAGGGAGCTGAGTCCCTCGCGTCACCCCGCTCCCGGCAGTGCCCGTCCCTCCCTGCACTTCCAGGCTCGGGTGCCCCGGGGGTGCGGCAGGACCACAGCTCCTGCATGGAACTCCGAGCGGGCCCGGGCGCTGCATCCCGCCTGGCACGTGGACGGAGGGCCGGGACGGGGGTCAGCACACCTCGTTGCTCCCTTTCCCGTCCTCCCTCTCCTCTCTCTCCCTCCAGAAACTCGCCTTGTACTCCAAAATGCAAGAAGCCCCGGAGAGCGGCAGCAGCGCCGGCGCGAGCAGCTCCTTCTCCAGCCACGCCGCAGCCAGCATCAAGGAGGAGGAGTGCAGCCCCGAGAAGGAGAGGCCCCCCGAGGCTGAGTACATCAGCTCCCGGTGCGTCCTCTTCACCTACTTCCAAGGGGACATCAGCGCCGTGGTGGACGAGCACTTCAGCCGGGCGCTCAGCCAGCCCAGCAGCTTCTCGCTCGGCAGCGCCAAGGCGACTCGGAACGCCGGCTCCTGGCGGGGTGAGCACCGAGGAGGGGTGCAAGTGCTGGGGTTCCGCGAATGCGGGGAGTGTGGAGGTGCAGGGCTAAGAACCACGGCAGGAATCCCCCGTGTCCCCTCTTGGTTTTGAGTTTGGGACTGCGATGAGCAAAGGTGGGAGCAGTAAGAGAAGTGGATGCAGGCGTGAATCTTTTGTACCATTTTACACCTCATAGTTTCATAGGGTGCCTAGGGTGGCAGGGAACAGCTGGCCTCAGGCATTGCTGCAGAGCAGCTTCTGGGACCATCCCTCACCTATCAGTGCCCAACTGAGAGCTGATTGCTCACTCTCTCCTTGAATTCCCATCAGTTTTCTAAGAATGAAATACTGGTTAAAGTATTTCGTAAGTGGAAGATGCTCAGCACTGAAAGCTGAAAGATTTCTTAGCTCCTCAGGAACTGCTTCCCTTTCTCCTGAGTAATACCAGAAGGTGCAGAGCTGACGTACCTCCCTGACAAATGTTCGTATCGGCAACACTGTCTGTTCACAATCAATAATGCGTAGTACCTTCTGCACTATTAGTTATCTCCATTCCACTTCACACTGGGCAAGAAAAGCATAAGGTCCTTACCCTCTGCACTGTCAATCCTCAAAGAGCTGCAGAATGCTTCCCAAGCATGTTAACAAAAGCCCCAAGAAGCAAGAACAAGTCCAATGCAATAGACAGGGAAATTACCCCCACATAGATTTAGCATATTTAAGCTGATTGCACAGCTCATGCTGTTCATGACTGCTTTGAAACTACACTGAGGAAGTAGATACTTTCCTGGCAGTGTTTGGCATCCTCTAAGGTGTTGAGCAGCGTAAATGCTTCAAGAGGGAGATTAGTTAAAAAAAAAGAAAGAAAGAGAGAAATCCAACCTTGACAATTGCTGTGCTTCATAATTGTTCTGACTCAGTTTCCAGATTGAGAGAAAAAGGTGTTTCTCTCACCTTAGATAACAATCTTTTCCCTGAAGAAGTACTAAAAGAAGCCTAGCCTGGAGCAAATTGCTCCAGCCCCGGGCTAATTGTGCTGGATGATTGGGCTGGGGAGGGCTGCTGGGAAGCAGTTTTGTGTGTTTTTGTGTGTTTGGTGGTTGTTTGGAAGATAACCACAGCATGAGAGTGAAGAGAAGCACTAGTGAGTCAGATGCCAGGACTGAGAGTGCTCATCCGCCTTTCCTTTCTCTCTGCATCTAGATGGCTCCTTCCCGATGAGCCAGCGCAGCTTCCCCCCATCCTTCTGGAACAGCACCTACCAGCCCTCCTCGGTCCCCGTCACCCTTAGCAGCCCCCTGGCTGCCCACAGCGAGCTGCCCTTCACCACCGCGGACCCCTATGCCCCAGCCTCCCTGCACGGCCACCTGCATCAGGGTGGCCCTGAGGCCTGGCATCACGCCCACCACCACCACCACCACCATCCCTACCTCGGGACGCAGAGCACAGCCTACCCCCGCCCCGCAGCCATGCACGAGGTCTACGGCCCTCATTTTGACCCTCGCTATGGCTCCCTGCTGGTGCCCACCGCCTCCGTCCGCCCCCACCGCCTCACTCCCACCGCCGTGCCCACACCGGTCAGCCCACCCTGTGAGCTGGGCAAGGGCGAGGCAGGCCCTGCTGCTGCCTGGACGACACCGGGACCCTTCCCCAATGCGGCGGGAGACGTGGCACAGAGCCTCGGCCTCAACGTGGACGCAGGTGAAGAGAGGTCCCTGGCCCCTTGGGATCCCCCCAGCTCAGGGCTACCCCTGCCCTGAGGTGGTGGAGGGGAGGGCACTGTAGAGGGCAGCTAGAGGAAACATATGGGTGTGCGAGCTCCCAACCCATGCTGCATGTCCTTCTTTGCATTCCTTGGCCAGGCAAGCAAGAGCAATGTGTCACCCACTCAACATTTCTGGATCCCAAGACATGCTCTGAGGTAGTGCTTGCTTTGGGCCTTTCTCTGTGCTGGAAGCCTGATGCAGCCCCGAGGGCTGTGGCCAAAGGGCAGTCCCACAGCTCTGTGAATTTCTGCAGCTTTCTAAACAGTTTCCTCTGTTTACTTTTTTTTTTCTCCCAGTTTTCAAAAAATGCTGTTGTATCTGCTGAGCATGTAAGGGCAACAGCTATCCCTGTGACCAGGAAAGTTGGTGCTGGTCGCCTGCCCCTGGCCAGGTGCTGGCATGTAGGGCTGTGTGCCCAGTGGTGCTGCAGAGGGGACAGAGTCATGGCCAGCAGTGCCAGCTCATCAGGCTGTGTCTGTGGAGGCAAGAAAAGCCTGCTCGGCTGCTTGGGTTCCTCGTGATGAAGCCTGGTGACAGCAGTCACTGGTGGCTCCGTGCAGCCTCACTTCAGTTTAGAAAGAGATATGTGCCTGTCCTCACTGCAGCCAGGGCTCTTCTTGCTTCATTGCTTTCTTCTAGCCCTGGGGAGCCCAGGCTTCAGCTGAGCCTCTGATCTCATGTGGCAGAAATGGAGTTTGTCTTTCTCTTTCCTTAAATGCTTGTATCTATTTTTTCTTCTTCCCTTTTTTCTTCTCTCCATTCTCAGGTTTGCAGCCTCAGGACAAAAGCAAGGATCTGTACTGGTTTTAGAGCTGTCCTTCACTCTTCCTCCCCTGGCTCTCCCCTGTAGATCTCTGCCTCTAGGCATGGTGGCATTCGGAGCTGAAGTCGGGTCAGTTTGTAACAGCTTCTGGTCTTGGTTTGCAGCTCGGCGTTACTCCTTCTGTGGTGGATCCCTTCTGAGCTGACGAGCTGACTCAGAGCCTCCCAGACCCCCTTGCCCTTTTCCAAGCCTACCATGGCCCTGCAGCTTGGGGACAGACAACGGGACTTAAAACAACTTGGCTTTGCAAGGATGAACCTTTAGACTTATTTTGGAGAGGAAAACCCTTCTGTTGAAAGAGGAGAGCCAAAGACCATGAACTATTTAAACAAACTCCACAGCCAGAACTGCAGTAGGACTATTTTAAAAGAGTCAAATGACATCACAAACAGTGATGAAAAACCACTGGCCTTCTTACAAGGGACAGAGGAAATCATGATTATTTCAGTGGTGTGAATATTTTTTTATGACAGTGAAAATCATTTCTTGATTTCAACTTGGGAAAAACTATTCAGCAGTTTTGAACTGGATTCTTACTTTACATTGCAGAAAAGTGAAAGGAGAAGAAATTGGAACTCACTAACATTTTTGGACTACTGAGGAGCTAGTCAGATTTTTCAGCATTGTGGTTATGAGTGGCAAGCGTCTAGCTTGGGCCACCTGCCTAGCTTGGGCCACCTGCCTTGGGCTTACAGAAGTGCAGCTGTTCCACGGACAACTGTTCAAACTCCAGAAATATGAAAACCAAGGTGGCACTTGTCAGAATTTGACATAACATTTGCATTGAATATGTAATGGTTGTTTGTTTTCTTTTCTTTTTTTTTTTACAAGAAGCATTTTATGGTGAAAACAAAACCCTCTTAAAGAAGGGGGAGAAAGGAAAGCCAGGAAAAATTGCTCACCCTCAACCTGATAGCCTTTAAGGGGAACATCACAAGGAAAAGCACATGTGGGACAATAGGTCTGGGTTGCCTCTAACGCTTCCCTTTGTCTACTTGTTGCTGTCATTTTGTCACTTTAATAATTGTCTTGTTTTGGTTTGAAAGGGGGAATAAGATATCTATTTGACGGTAGGAAAGCTACATTAAAGGTATTCCTTCTTTCACCCTGCGTGTTTTTATAGGGAATTAAAATTGAAAAAGAGAAATGGGGAAGATTAGAAACTTCAGGATGGAAAAGGAGAAAATAAATACCTGTAGTGTGGATGGAGTGAGTTATTTTACTAGTTTGCATTAAAGCTAACTAGGAATCCTAGCAGCTGAAAATATATTCTTAACGAGTAGAAAATATGGTGATATATACAAAAGACAAGAATATGCAATGTTGTGGCAATGCTGCCTCTTAGCATAGGGTGTCTCTGTAGGATAGGCTGCAGAAAGGGTGGACCCCATAGTAAGAGGCGTTTCTTCATGAAGTTGTTAGAAGAGGGAACTATATTTTGCACTGTGCTATTCTGCACTGGTACATTAAAATGTTGTTATAGAGGGTCAAATGACTAATTAAACAGAAACAGTAAGTTTGCCCTATGCTTGCAAGCTGACGCTTTTACAGGCAAAGCATCAGATCCCATAACTACAGCGTTTCATTTTGTTCTGTCTTTTCTTAATAAAACATCTTTAATGGCAGACAAAGTTCAGTGCACGTGAGAGTCCTGACATCATCCTTCTGACACCAGGAGAAGCAGTAGGAAACAGACTTTTGTGCCGTGATAGGGGATTTTACATTCTGAGACTTTGGCAAAATGTTTCCAAATGTGTTGGAAATGGAGAACTTGTTGCTCCAAGTTCCATCTCCACTAGAAGTACATTTAAGGGGAAGAACAGGAGCATTAACTGCAAGACAACAATAAAGCAGTGAGAATAAATATTGTGAGAAGCAGGCAAGGAGCTGCATTGAAATAAAAAGAGGGCAGAACATCCCCGGTCAGAGCTGGGTAAAGGGCAGGAGGCGGCTTGCGGTGGTGCTTCAGCCGGACAAACCCACAAGCATTTCATCACAGCCCCCGGCTAGCTGGCAGGCTGGAAAGGGCAAGGAAACAGCTCCAGATCTTGTAGTGCTGGTTAAACCACAAATGTTCTAAGTCTTCTATCATGAAGGAAGACAGCAGCACTTAGCAGGAGAAAAATAACTAAAAATCGCTTTTAACTTTATTGCTGCAGAGGCTTGAAGATGGCAGGGTCATTCTGTGAAGAGTCACCTGCATTTTCTTTAAGCTCTTTTTAAAGTTTAAGGTTTTTTTTCCCCTTTCCTTTCCTTTCCTTTCCTTTCCTTTCCTTTCCTTTCCTTTCC